GGGCTTTAACCGGTCGTTGTTTTTTATCCGACCCTCCCGATGTTTTCTCCCGGCTGACCCGACCGACCGGGTGATTTCTCTTGATTCATGTTGTGCTGTGACTTTCATCCTACAACCAATACCGTCACATCACTCACTGCGCGGCCCGAGCGGCTGTGTACACGACTCCACTTTAGTCCGCTCACCCACTCCACACGGTCCACCCACTCCACTCTAGTCCCCTCACCCACTCACACGGTTCACCCACTCCACTCTAGTCCCCTCACCCACTCCACTCTAGTCCACACACTCACTCCACACCGTCCACTCACTCCACTCTAGTCCACTCAACCCTGAGCGCCCTAACCGGCGTCCTCGTCCGCTTCGCAGACGGTTGTCAACAACCAGCTGCAGTGCGCCAGCCAGTACCAGGAGCTGTGCTGCCCTCCCGCCTCGGGCGGCGGCGGCGGTGGCAGCGGCGTGTACCCCGTGCAGCCACAGCCCACGTACTCGGCGTGCCCGGCGGCGTCCGCACGCCAGTGCGGCCGGCGCACCTCCATCCCGGTGCCCGGCTACAACAAGCAGCCGGCCGAGGCGCACTTCGGCGCCTATCCGTGGGTGGCGACCATTCTGCGCGAGGGCGACGCCTACGTCAGTTCGGGCGTGCTCATCGATAGCCAGTGGGTGCTGACGGTGGCCCACCACGTCAACAAGTACAAGAATGACTACTCTAGGCTCAAGGTACGGGCCGCTCGGATGTATTGGGGCTTTTCTTACATGTCCAGGTATGCAGTATAGTGTATGTCGAGTGTGCATGGTTTTTCCTTAACTTGTCTTGTTTTTGTTGCTGTGTGTGTAGGTTCCGTCCATCGGAAGTAGCAATGTATTCTGAAAGTGATCAGGTGAGTGAAAATGGTTTATACCAGCAGTGCTGAGTCGCACTTCAACACAAATGTGCGAATCTAATCTGCGTTATATGCCTTTAAATCCATGACATGTCTCCATACAAATTTCGCGTGTGATCAGAACTGCAGCAACCGTTTGCGTGTTTTGTTCTCGAAAGTCAAATCACTTGCCTATGACCAGACTGGCGGCCACTGACTGTCCTCCACCCGGCAGATCCGCTTCGGTGAGTGGGACGCCAGCGACCCGAAGCACGAGCCGTGCGCGCACGAGGAGCGCACCGTCTCGCAGATGATCGTGCACCCGTACTTCAACTCCGGCAACCTGCAGCAGGACGTGGCGCTGCTGCGGCTCTCACAGCCGCTCTACCTGCAGAGCCTGCCGCACGTCAACACCGCCTGTCTGCCAGCCGCCGGCCAGAGCTTTGACTATCAGCGCTGCTGGGTGGCCGGCTTCGGCAAGGACGCGTTCGGCGCGCAGGGCCAGTACAGCTACATTCAGAAGGAGGTGGACGTGCCGGTCGTGCCGCAGGACACGTGTCAGTACCAGCTGCGCCAGACGCGGCTCGGCGGCGACTTCCGGTTGGACTCGCGCGCCTTCATCTGCGCCGGCGGCGAGGAGGGCAAGGACTCGTGCGAGGGCGACGGCGGGGCACCGCTGGTCTGCGACGACGGCTCCGGCCGCTGGACCGTAGCCGGCCTGGTGGCCTGGGGCGTCGGCTGCGCTGAGGCCAACCGGCCCGGCGTCTACGTCAACGTGGCCTCGTACGTCGACTGGGTGCGGAACCAGATCGGCTACAGGGGTTGAGACGGCGGCCGAGGCGGCGGCGCGGCTGGCAGGCTGGCAGGCTGGCAGGCTGGCAGGCTGGAAGACTGGGAGGCTGGTAACCTGAGAGGCTGGGTAGCTGGGAAGCTGGGAAGCTGGGAGGCCGCGGATTTGTGAGGCCGGGGGGCTGGCGCAAAAGTGTAGCTACCGTGGGTTTGGCACAGCTGTTCAGCAGACTGTACTACAGCAGCTCGGGATGTGTCTCAGCAGCTCAGCAACCAGCAGCTCGGGATGAGTCTCAGCAGCTCGGGATGCGTCTCAGCAGCTTGGGATGTGTCTCAGCAGCTCAGCAGCCAGCAGCTCAGGATGAGTCTCAGCAGCTCGTGATGCGTCTCAGCAGCCCAGCAGCCAGCAGCCCGGGATGCGTCTCAGCGGCGCAGCAGTTCAGGATGTGTGATCGTTAGTCCACCGGCTGGGTGCTTCTCAGCAGCTCAGCTGCTGGAGATCTTGCTTAGCAGCCCCACGGCTGGAATTATTCCTCGCAAGCTTAGCGTATGGAGTGATAAGGAGCGTGCACGGAGTGGCACAATCTACGCACTCGATCACAAACTCAGCCAGGGATGCGTGTCACGTGACCTCAACGCTCATGCTCGAACTGGATCTTGGCCACGGGCCGCCAGGCGAGTCCATTGAGTACTGCACCGCTCACCGTTAATACATACGGCGCAATTCTATCCAAAAGTGTTGCATGTAACGAAGGAGGAATATCCTCATATCAATTACCAAAGGGCCAAAACTCACCACATTGCTTTGTTTAGTCATCGTGGCCGAGTCTTAGCTCGTTAGTCATGGACATGTACAGGCGGGTGTCACTCCTGCCTTCGCTGTCGATGACATATTTCAGGATGTACTTGCGGTTTGGGCCGCACGACCTGTAATGCCTGATCGGTGGACAGCGAGAGCAGTGATGTCAGCGATGGGTCGCGAACCAGAACGTGGTGGACACTGGGCACCAGCTGCGCGCTGTGATATCCACTCCGTAAGTCCCGGTCATGGGATGGGCATACGAACGACTCTGATTCTGTGGCCGTGACCACGGAACCAGAACATATGTTCAAAACAGAAATACAAAAAATGGGACGGAAATCTGACGGCAGCGCACCCCTCACCCCCACCGCCCTCCGTGAGATTCCGTTTTGTAGCACAAGGCTTGGCCAGGGCTGTCCGCCGTGGCCATCCTACAAACAACTCTGAAGTCAGTGGCTCCTTTACAGTACTGACATTCATTTTCACACGATATAAGATCGTGCTTAACATTTATGAATTGAAAAGGGTAAAACGTTTAACGTGCTTTGCGAAAATCGTGGTAGGCTGTGAGCGCGTTATGTTTTATTTCAATTCATGTGCGATCCAGGGTAGAACCCAGGGTAGAATAACTTAATTGTCAGCAAGCAGTTGGAATGTGGGACAAAACACCTATATATTTAAGCTCGTATTTCTGCACTGAACTGGTCAGACTTTTGACAAACCACGAAGAAAGTTGGCGCGTTGGCCAGCTCCCCGAGCAACAACCCTAACAGACATAGGAGTCCCCATTACGCAATAAAACACCAGCGCTGCACGTCACTGGCGGCACCGCTGTGGGACCGACCCCCTAACAGACGGTCCGGCAGAGCGGGCTGTGCGACCGTGACCTGCTGCAGCGCCGGCGCCCCGGCGGACCCGCGCCGGTGAACTTGACCTAGTTAGCAGGGGCGGGCAGTCGCTGCAGACCCCGTTTGACACGTCTCGGACTGGCTTATTCGGACCGTGTAATCGTGAGCGCTGCTAATGGCATTCAGCTCCGCCGCGGGGACGTCGTGTGGGCCGGTGAAGGCCTACGTCGTCTAACGCAGTCATCCACTTCCATCCGTCGAAGGGCGGTGGTGACGCCGCCAAAAAGCTTCAGCTGGATTGTAAGTGAAGCACTCAGATCGTCTCTAGATCCCAGATGGAAAGCGTCGTGGCTTGCTGAGCGTGCCCGCGAAGCTCGTGGTTTCGGGAGCCAAAAATTCTCTTCGGCTCAATATATCCTTGCGTGCTAGTATTTGTTGGCAGTGCGCTTCAGTTCATGGTACGCGCAACTGACAACTCAAAGCGAACTGAAGCCATGCGTTCTTGGAGTATAGGCACACTATTTGCATGCTGTGTCGTATATTCCTGTTGTTTTAGCATATCTTTCAAAAAGACAGCGCGAGAATCCTGTAGTGGAAATGTGTTATTGGCCACTTCACCCCTAGCACGTAGCCCAAACCCAGGTGAGGTACTGATTGAATTAGCCCGGCTGACATCTTTAATAACGAACACCCATATTTTACAACTCGTCCTGTGTTTTTCTCGGGGACATATCCCAGAGTGCTTTGATTAGTACCATTATTTAAAGTTTTAAAAACCGTTGTTGAGTTGGTACGGCGCACTGAATGCTCGTCACTCAACTGCGCTGTCCCCTTAGACCTGACCCGTTCGCCGAACACCACGGCGTGCGCATAGCTCACACCACAAACGACACATTCATGCAGCCCGGGTCCACACGAAACAACGAAGGCACCTAGCAATGTATTTACAGGTTATCACAGTCACATGTTCAGCGATACAAAACGTCCCCCTTCGACCGGCGGCAGAGGCGCCACTCCACGCCTCTGGCCTCAGCTATTGCCCTCCGCCGGCAGCACGCCGCGAGGCTGACTGAGCGCCGACCCGGAGCACAGAACACCGAACGCCACGAAAAACGAGGCCGAACAACATAAACGATCGTCTGCCCTAGCATCAGCAGACGCTGAGCAAGGCTCCGCGGATGGGACGGGTACACTGGGGCAGTCTGCCTGGCATGCGCGGGGTCATAGTAACGAATGTTGACCTGCGCACCAACAACAGAACAGACAGCCAACAAATCATTCATCCAAAGCGCGCTGATGCATCCAAGCACGATGGTGGCAACGCACGGTATAAGCCTCTGACGCAGGTTTAGCGATCCGGTTCATTGCAAACTGCTCGTTCTGGGATTGATCGGGTGTGACACGCGCAGTAGCAGCAGTCCGGTATGTTATATCTGGGACACATGACGCGACACGGATGTCAGCAGTGACATCCTGCCGTCAGTCTACACGACTCTGATGTACTTACACTTACACCAGGGCACCTCTACCTCACCTGATATCACACGGCAGTAACTGCGGTCTCAGCGTCACGCCTCAGGCGCCTCTGCAGAGCACAGCTGCAAGCGACACCAGAGCACAGTGTGCCACCCACCTGCTCTCGTCCCCTCACATCAGTCCCGATGAACGCGCCCCTCCCCCCTGCACTCACAACCTGCGTCACACGGGCGTCGCCATGGTCCCCGGTTTCATCTGCACGTCCTGGGCGTAGGAGGGTCGCGGTGGGTCTGCGTACCGGTCCACGTGCGCCCGGCCCCGCCCCAGGCTGCCGACCGGGCCGCGGCCGTACGCCGCGGCGGCGTCCACCGCATCCGCAGTGCCGTCTGGCGGCCGCAGCGCCAGGCGGCCGGCGGCGTCGTCGGCCGCGTAGTACCCGGTACGGCCGCCAGGGGCGCTGCCGACCGTCTCGTCGTACGGCGCGCCGCTCAGCCTCTGTGAGGCGCTCGAGGTGTCGCTCACGTCCTGGGAGTAGTAGCTGGGTCGGTGGGCCAGGCCCGGCGACGGCGCCGCCTCGGGCGCCGGGTATCCCGGCTGCCCGGCGCCCGCCTGGGCCGCGTAGTACGCCGGCTGGCCGCGGCACAGACTCGTCTCCTGCGGGTAGTAGGTCGGCTGCGGCGGCGGTGCCACGCTCTCGTGGGCGTAGTAGTGCTGGCTGTGTGACGGGCTGTCAGCCGGAGGGCGGGCGCCGAACTCAATTGGCGTGCTTGCGTGCAGCATGCGCTGCTGGCCGCCCGGCTTGTGCAGGTAGCCATTCTGGTCGTAGGGAGGGTACATTCCCGTGCCGTTCTGCGGCATCGCCTCCTGTCAAAGAAGAAGCGTGTGAATACAGTGAGGTAAAGCATTGTTTACGTCACAGCGGGATACGCGAATATCCCGATTTTGGGACAGCAGTTGAACCGTACTGAACGTGCTACCCTGCGGCGCGATCCTGAAGTTCAGGGACAAACTTCTCAATGCCGGCAGCTGGACAAGCAAGTGCTTTGATCCGCATCAGCAGTTTTAAAGCAAATGCCTCTTTGTCAAGCACACCGCCATCACAACTGCAGCGTGTCTGTCCGTTCACTTGCAAGCTCAGCACAAAAAAACAATTATTCGGCCGCATGGCAGTAACGCGACCAGGCCCGTCCGCACGGCACGCCAACAGCTAATCATTCCACCGTCACCAGTGGCGTGTCAAATGGCCGCGTAGGGCTCGACCGCACCTTGTCGAAGGGCGGGAAGGCACGCTCGTCGCTGTGCTGCTCGTAGAGGGCGCGGTGGCCGGGGTAGTGGGGCGCCGTCCCAGCGGTCCGTGATTACTTGACCCGATCCCGACGACGACGTGCGGATCTCGACCTTGAGGTCGGAGCCCGATGAATTGGCGTCCGCCGTTGGCTTGACCGTCTTGTCAAACACCACTGGCTCTGCGGGCGGGATGGAGGGGTCAGGACGAGCCGCGAGCGCCGGAACGTCCCAGCACGATGGAGACAGAGCAAAAATGCGATGTGACCATCAGACATCGAAAGTTCAGCCCGTCCTTCAGGACACTGTAAAGCTAAGCTGTCGCACAGATCACTAAGTAACATATCATTTTTGATCATCACTGAACAATGCCAACGTCACAATAGATTCGCGTGGTGGGGCCATCGACAAAGCTGTCGTCAAAACAACTGACATCTTCTAAATCAGAACATGAAAAACCACCTTGTAAACCATTGTAATACCGTGTGATCCACAGACTTATCTCACTGAATCTATTCTGCCCAGCATAAAGACGGAAATCCCTCTCGCCATAAATCGCGTTACGTCCAATCAGTGATCACCTCGGGCGTCTCTAAGACCCAAGGCGCCATATCAAAACAACCGCCTCAGTGACATGACGATTGTTTGCAATTGTAAGCAAACGATTATCAAGGTCCTGCCATTAACAGTTCCTTGAAAGGAATAACCTTTCTGTGAATGTAACCGGTCGCCGACGCTCAACTATCACCCAGTGTACATGGAAAACAGGCTCGTACCGTGAATCGAGGCCAGAGCATAGGTAATCCGACCACATACATGCGTAAGCCCTGCTCTGATAGACACGAATAATCCTTCTCAGTGACGTGTAGGTGAAGCATCGACCCGAATCAACGTGCACGAATGCTTAATGCCATGAAAAACGTATTTAAAAATGGCAATTGCAACTACAAAGATGGCAACGAAAAATGCGACCCGTCGACTTGACGGTAACGCTGGCTGAAGCACACACCGACCTGTCGGCACGTCCTTAGCACGGCGGCGATGACGCTGGCACATGATGATCACCAGGATGATGGTGGTGATGACGATGATGCCCCCAATCGCGATGGTCAGGATGACGAGCAGCGGAAGCTCTCCTGAAAGATATGGTTCGTGTCGTCACCTGCGCAAAACCTCGACACTGGGCTGAGCCTTCAAACATGCAAGCAAGATATATCTCTCTTGAGAGGCCTTGCCACCCTCTCCACATTTGTCTCGGCCTATATGCATTTAAAGAAAATCCCCAATGTTGGCAAAACTGGTCTATGAAAACTCGTATAATTTGGGGGAAATCTGCTCTTCGCCCTTCCGCTGCGAGGAAAAACATGAGCATCCGCTGGTGAGAAGACGTGATGCTCGTGACGACATCTGGCCACTGAAGAGCATCCCAGGATGGTGCCCATGGCGCCCATTCACGCCAAAAATAACAGATCCGACAGGGGCGCTGTGGTAACATCTGCGCTTTAGCCAACCAGCGAGGCCTTAAGGACTAATCCGTTGTCTGCGTGCACCAACCGGCTAGTTTTTTTTTTTGGGGGGGGGGGGGGATTCAGAACGGAATCACGCAGGCCATGGATGAACCGGTTTGGTCGCCATTTACGGCGCTATGGCGGCGCGGCCACCTTTGCAATCCAACATAGACTCATGTCACCACATTCGGTCGGCAGCTTGCAGCCACTTTCTATCACTCCATTGTGGTGCATAAAACTGTAACCAGACGACGCTGAGTGCTGCAAGGTTTGAAAGGGCGCAAGTATGCCTTGTAGTACCACTGCGTCTGCAGTCAAGCATTTAACTTCGACTCATTCCAAAATGTGATGGCAAATTCGGATTGGGTGGAAGTTGAAGCTCAGAGATAGCTATTCGGATGTTGCGAAATACTCAAACTCTCACAGAAAAATAGCCAAAAACAAGGAGCAGGCATTTTGAGCTTCAACAGCAGCACATTCACAAGGTGGATTTACACAAATTTGCTTAGGATGCAGAAGCATGAGTTCAACGAAAACATTAACAACCCTACGCTATGAGTTACAAAACGAAACATTTTCCAACCTTATGATACTATTCATAGAAAGAGCTTATCTTTTTTTACTTCTGAATTCAGATTTCCATCAAATCTTTTCTCAGGATAATTTAAATACCGTCATATGTGTAAGCTTCGGATCATCGCACCGTAAAATTACGACGGTCGTCCTGCACCGCAATGTACACCATTAATCGTGATATAAACAAGCAGGGCTTTGAGCTCTGGATGTTCGTCGTCATAAGTTGTGAGTTTCTCTGTGGAAAATAATCGGCCTTCCATAAACCAGAAGATACTGGCTAACCGACGTTATCAAGCATTCACTGGCTATGGTATGATTGATGGCATGCTTGTGCTTATGGTCCCGAGTGATTATGACCACAGATTTGGAACGTCGAAATTTCTCAATAAAAACAACTCTTGCTTGACAAGGTTGTCCAACTACTACCTCCTGGTGCGTTGAAGCTTCGATATTTTCAACTAAATAACTCCCAACCTATGATGAGGAAAAACGAAGAAGGTAAAGGTAAGTAAAAACGAAGAGGTAAACACTCGCCCTACTTACATCAAGCACCAATTCTACGAATTGCCGCAAAATGTATGTGTTCACCCTCAAGAACAGTATCTAACATATTTCACACTCATAATTTTCACTACTAATATCGACGCCTCTTGCTGCTCTTCTTTCAATCCGCAAACAGTTGGAAACATATGTATAGGTGTCACGGATTATATAAATGCATTTGAGTATCGATTTTTTTAAATATTCGGACACCGAAAGCAAACCAATTGTTCACCACTGTCTCTCAATCGGCATAAACAAATGAAGTGGAGTTGGTGAAAAAGTGAAACACAATATGTCATATCTGGAACGTCCCGGTGGCTCAGTTGGTTAGAGATCACCTGATCACCCGTGGCGCGGGAGACGCCTCAGGCGCTCGCTATTTGCCCTCGACAGATATAGCCTGCGGCCGGTGGCAGCAGCTGCACTAAAGGTCAGGCGACATCAGAGGGCACGGCGTACCGGGCCGAGCATTGCGGTATATTTAACTTTTGCCATCAAATGCTGCCGTTGACCTGGAATTGCGCGATTGGATGGTGGGTGTCAGAGCTCACAACAAGCAATGCTTATCGAAAGCACTGAGCACATAAATACATATCCATCTATTCAAAAGGTTCTGGTCAACTTTACAAAATATCCACACAGCATAAAACAACGCATATTGGTAGTATTTCGGGCTGCATGCAATGATGGTTACTTCCAAAAAATAATCAAATAAGTACGACGTCCTCCAAACAAGTGTGATGACGATGAAACTGGCGTTAAGGATTACGACCATTTTACAATGAATGTATGACGACGTTTGGCGAGTAGAGTGGAAGATATGCCCTATGTACTGGACCAAAGGTCAGTCAACATGCTCAGCAGCAAACCACGTCAAATATTCGTGCCTCCTGCGGTTCGCAAACACGTGTAACAAATGACACGCACGCAGACATTTTACAGCACGCTGGATTTACAACAAATGAAACCCATAGTAGCATTCAAACGTAAACCGGACTAAAGCGCGTGTTTTATCGGCGCTGATCTCCCAGCATTAGGTCCAGAGAACAGCAGTAAACGTCAAAGCCACCCAGCAAAGCTCCTGTTGCGATTGCAAGCGACAGCGGGCCTGCCTCGCTGCTGGGTGGCGCCCATACGGCCGCTCGAGGTGGGACATGGCTGCTTCGACGCCGCCGAACTAAGTGATCGGACAGCGATAGAGCAAGGGTCGGGATTCCACGGCACCGATGGGAAGTAGCCTCCCCTGCCCACCCGGGTGCCTGCCCACTCACCAGGGTGAAAATGAGCCCATCGCCACCGCACACCTTCGTAGCTCAAGGCCGAGCCTGTCGCTCGTGCCAACCAACAATATTTTTGCTGGAATTTACCGAAAGTACGCGGTCGTTGTGTCAGCGGACAGGTAAGTTCCATGCAATACACAAGCCTGCGAGATAACGGAAAAACGAATTCGCTTTCAGTTGCAATGGGGCGCCCGTGCATTGCGACGACACGAGTCCCTGTTGACCGACTCAGCCCGCTCAGCAGCCGCAGCCAACCGGCATGTGCCTGCTCCGCAACCCTGGCACTTTCCGTCATCTAACCCGCCACCGACGATCAAGAATGACTGACATCCCGTATACAGCGTTCGATGCGTCTGTTTCCTGTATGTACCCCTGTCGACAGATCTGTGCGCAAGTTCTTCGCCACCCAATTGTGTGTGATGAATGTTCGCTGCTTGCGCGATATGTGAGGTTTAAGCCGCGTTTAGCCCGTGACCGATCATACCTATCAAAGTCCGACCAAAACCACAGACAGATGATTGATGTCCACGTCACGTCTGGTCTTGAGCCTTCGTAAAAACATACGTCCCAATCTAAATTGCCGAGTTCGCTACCTTGGATACCAGCGTTGTCTGGCAGGTGGCGGACGCCGGGTCCGTCCCGCTCCCACCGGGCGGTAGCAGAGCGTCATCCGCCGCTCGTGAGCACCACCGGCCACCCGCTGGTACTCACGCTGCTTCTCCAGGATGACGAGCGCCGAGTCCGTGCCGTAGGTGTTGGTGACGGAGCAGTTGTACAGGCCAAAGTCCTCCTCACGGGCGTCGGGGATCACGAGCAAGCTGCGGATGCCGCCCACGACGACCTCCTCCACCACGGCGCAGTGGCCGGCGTCCTGCGCAGTCGTGAGGAAGTAAGGTTACCACCGCGTCAGCGGTGGTTCGGCCTCTCCCCACCGCGAATGTTACACTGAGGAAAGGGGACACCGCAGGACAAACGCTGTTAACCTCCTCATGTCAGGGCGGTGGTTCAAATTCCCGGCATGCAAGCGCGCTCACAATTCTCCACAACTCGGCGAGTGTGAGCAGTGGTTTTTGACCCGACTCCAACAAACGAACAGACGTGGCACACCTCTATGAACTGCCTTACACCTCCCCCAGCACACGCCTCCTCAAGCCCGCCCAAACCAGCCCCGCCCCACCGCTCCGGGCCCTGTCCCGCCGGCGGCCGCTCACTGACCGAGCGGCACGGGCTGGTTGTTGAAGAGCCAGGTGACGGCAGTGGGTGGTGGCACGCTCGCCACGCTGCACTCCAGGTGCACCAGCTGGCCGGCAGTGCCGCGCTGGGTCGGCGGCGCCGTGACGCGCGGCGGCGCGCGCACGAAGAGGCGAATCTGGCGCGACAACGGCCGGGTGGTGCTCGCCCGAGGTGCGACATTCGTAGAGGCCAACCGTGTCGGCGGAGGCGACCAGCGTCAGGCGGCGGCCGGTGCCCACCGGCTGTGGACAGGCGGGGCGGAGGTCAGGTCACGGGTCAGGTCAAGGCACCTGCGCAAGACGACTGTGTCCGCGGAGCAGGTCAGGCGACAGGGTCAGATCCGCTCGTCGGAGGGTGAGTTTCGCGTCGATGCACGCCAAATCACTTAACTGGAGCGATCCTTGGAGTGATCTGAAGTGATCTGGAGATACTTTAGTGGAGTAAGATCACTTTGCCCACTTGACTCCCTCGCCTCATTCTCCCACTGCGGAGGGACGCTGTGTGCCCGCATATGTGCTTGGCCTTCTCGACAATGCGCGATCCCAGGATCACAATCCAGAGAGGAAGTCGACCGCTCTGGCCGTTCAGTTCTACGTACGGTGTATGGCACCGTACATAGTGTTGAACATGCTGAGGTGCCGGACACTTAGAGACGCTCTCGCAACATTTTGGGAGCTCTCCTCACATTTCAAAGCTCTGCTATTTGCTGAGACGCACGGCTATTTGTCGGACGAACACCCAGAGTAAACACGTCGAGTACTGCTTTGTGCTAAGCCAAGCCCGGCAAGCAGAGCTGCAGCGCCGCGAATGCTTGCAAAATAAGAGACACCGCTCCTTGAAATATATCCAACCGGCGCCAACGAGAACCGCATGAATTCCCCGTAACGTACGCAATCTGCATGCAAACTGGGAGCCGGGTGGCAGGAGATGGGGGCTGTACCGCCCATCTGTACCTGATGTTTTTGCATTCACTGCTAAAAATGAAGTCATGACCTAACTGCACCGGTCGTGAGTGCGAGAGGATGTCGCGACGCGGCCTCATCCCGCCGCGCAAAAACGTGCACGCCAAGCAGTACGCGCGATTCATCTCGGGACACAAATCCCGAGAACCGGTTCCGCCATTATGTTTTGTGGGCTGCCGTGACCGGGCCGTGTTTCTGTAAATGCCGGAAACGAGTGACGGCCGCGAGCGCGTCGGGCCGGAGCCGGCGCGGTCGGCCGGCTGCAGCGGCGGTGGCGGCGACGGCCGGTGTGAAAATTGAACGACCACTCGCCAGAGATGGGAGCAGTTGCCAGCCGAGAGTAGCCCGTAATTGCGGCCCGACATGCGAGGGGTGCACCCGTGGCCGCCGTGTCGCGGCGGAGCAGGACGGCGGCCATCGCGGCGCAGACGAGCTGGGACCGCGAGTGGGGTCACTGACCTGACGGTTACAACCCTGCACGGCGTGGAGTACGGCCAGGGGCCCACCGGGTGCACGCCATGCAGACTGAGAGTATATGAGGTAACGCCCGGGGAGGCGGGCCATCACAACAACGTGAGGCGCCAAATCGCGGTGGCTGGCAGCGGTAGAACTGGATGGGGACCAGTCCAACGACTGGAAGGGGAACTAGGAGAGATTGCCGGGCATTCAGGATGGTATCTCTCCGCTGCAGTCACTGCGGCTTCATCTAACTCAGCCTTGTTAAAACATAACCGCTCCACGTAGAGTATATCTGACTGACAACAGTTGCAATCCAAAGCAAGCTCTGGTCCTGCACATCCTTCTACCCGCGTCAGCACAGATCAAACCAAGGCCGTTCTGATAAAAAAAAGCACTCTAAACCAAGGCAGCTCTGCCCGGCCGCACGGGTGAGTCACAGCACTCAAACCGCGGCAGCCGCTGGTCACGACAGCCCAGCACTCTGCGGTCCTGCGCGACGGCGGCCCGACCAGCGCGTCCCCAAGCTTGAGCCGCCGGCTCGGCCTGGGGCTCGAGCCGTCGGCGGAGGCCGCCGGCCGACCTTGCGTCTCACGCGGCGTGACGCGCCCCCGGCCTGGCGTGACGCGCCCCCATCAGCCGCTGCAATCGGCCGCGACCAGTGGGGTCAGCCCCGTGACCCGCGCCGACCGGCGACATTCCGCGCTCGCCAGAGGCGGCGTCAGGACCGCACTCCGGGGGAGGGAGCAGTGCGGGTGGCAGGAGCGCGCGCAGATGGGCTGTGAGCGGAGGATGGGATGGGGTGCCGGCGTGGTGTTTCAAGAGTGAGGGTGGTGGGGGAGGGACGTCTGGCACGCTGCGTGCGCCCCTGCACGTGCAATAGTCCGACGCACGCAATATCCGCGCAGGGTGATAGTTACGTGTACGCCGGCTTGTAATAACCTTTTTTTGCAATCGAGGGAGTTTACTGACGCTTTTCGCCTGTCAGCGCACCCCACTCGCAGACGTTCATCAGCGAGCTGTACCACCCAGGCCGGCAAGACCCGCGCATAACAGGCTCCTGCCACGACATCCACTGGAGCCTCGATACCCAAGCGGTGCGTATCGCGACCGTGCGGTATGTCAGGCATCCCCCAACACCGGTGAGGCCGGTGCTGCGCTGCAAGGAATTCGAAACATGTGCCGGGTAAGCCACGTTAGGTTCTGACCGGCCAGCCGACAACCTGCAAGCACGGCAGACTTCTGTCGACGCCCACATCGGTAAGTCAGCACGTCGCCTCGGTCCGCAAGGCTGCCGTCGCGCTGGCGGTTAGCCACTGTTTTACAGCGCTGTTTCCTGAGTGAGCAGCACGGGCGGCTTCAGGCACAGTGTGCTTATTCAGCGGAGCCTGTCGCGTGTTCCCTGAATCCTCTTCCATTCTCGGACGCAGGATTCACCCTCTTCGCACCCAACGCCCGCCTGCCGTCGCTCCAGCAGCGACTCCCCGCCGCACGACTCGCGGCGGCCGCGGTGACTCACCTCCGGACAGGCGTCGCACTCGCGCCTGACCCAGCTGACCTCGGGCGCCGGGTTGGCGTCCACGTCGCAGAGCAGGGTCGCCTCCTGGCCCACGTCCGCGGCCACGTCCCGCGGCTCGGCGCGGAAGCGCGGCGCGTCTGCGGACAGCGCGGGGCGCGCGGGTCAGTCATTCCCAGTCCGTACAATGGCGGATTGTTTTATTGTCCGCCAGCGAAGCGGCGCAGCAGGCATGCTTTGGCCGCGTCCGCGTCGTAGACGGTAATTAATCGGCCGTTGCGGTCATTTTTCCGACGACATTAACGTCTAATCTGAGTTCTCGGCTTGGTGCAGGCGGTGCGGGCCGCCGCTAAGGGCTGGATCTGTTACATGGCAGGGTAGATAAGCGAGTTTTTGCCGAGCGCTGCGGCGTGGTACGACGAGGCATGGGCGGGTAGACAGTTATGAAGCTCGAGGATGAACGGGGGGCGGGGAGCATCAGGAAGCCTGGTAGCATCACGGCGGCCAGCACTGCTGCTCGCTGCGGCTGTCGAGAAAGCCGGGTCTGACTGGATCCGGCGGCAATACGAGGGGCGGCACGGGTGATCATAGGTTACACATGCACAAAAGCAGGCGCACTGATAACCAGTCAGCGCTCTCGACACACAGAGCCAAGGCTGACCTGGCGCCGCATGCACCGACCGTGTTAAACCGTCAGCAACCGGGAGCTGCCCCACACCGCACTGCCACTGACGCTCAAAGGTCCGCAGCCAGCACCTCAACTGATTTCGTGGGACGCCCCGCCGCCGCCAGTCACTCACAGAGCACGTTTATCTGGGTGGCGTCGCTGCCCGTGCCGGCGGCGTTGGTGACCTGACAGAGCACGGAGGCGTTGTCCAGGTGACGGCCGACGGCGCGCAGCGTCGTGGAGCTGTCGGTCTGGCCTGGCAGCGGCTCGCCGTTCACGAACCAGCGATACCGAACCTGTGACGTCAGCGGCCAGCGTCAGGGCGGCCTGCAGGCGACCTTAACCGCGGATCGACGGCCCCATCGTCAATCGTCGCCATCTCGCCGCAGGTGGCCGGGCGCGCGAGACTCGGCTCAGCTCGGGTCGGCCCGCCCGGCCGTGCCTCGCTCGGCGGAGACCGGGCCCCGACACGACACCGCGCGCCATTGTCCACAGTCGGGCCTCCGCCACTGACGAGCGCCGGCAGACCAGCACCGTTACCTCGGCCGTGCCGCAGGTAAGCGCCTGCACCGGCCGCGGCGACGGCGGCCCCACCGCGCCCACCGATTACCACATGGGCTGACCTTTCTACCTGCTGGTGGAAGCGGGCTCAAGGGCACCAGCACCACTCATCCGCTCACGGAGGGTGGTGGACATCACGTGACTCTAGGCTGGGTTTATTATCCCAAGGGGATGGATAGCACGCCGGACAGCTGCACCACGGCTCCAACACCGGAGCGGTGCGTACAGGCCGTCACATTCCCACAATGATTCGGACGGTCATATCATCAATCACAAGACAATGACCATAATCAAACAGAAATTCGACGTAAGTAAGAAGAGCCGTAAGCTGCCGCCTGATCACTCAGCATTAAGAGCTTTAGTGCTGAAAATGGCCGGCTTCAATCAGTCGGGACGAGTCTGTTGACAGCCGTCCTAAATGTCAACCACAAAGTCAAGAGCATTTTCCACGCCGGCGCCCGCCTCGCGCCCGCTCCTTCGCCAGCGCCTCACCTGGCCGGGGTTGGCCGTGGCGCGGCAGTGGAGGGTGACGTCATCAAACTCGGCGGCGCGCGCCCGGTCGGCGCTGACGCTGACCTCCGGCGGGAACGTGACCTGCAGCCGGACGGCGGCCGTCTGCGGCCGAGTGAGCGCCGCGTTGTGCGCCCGACAGGTGACGGTCGTGTCGTGGTGGGCCGGCGCCGCCGTCAGCACCAGGGTGGAGCGCACCACACTCCGCTTGCCGTCGGCCATCAGCGCCGACTCGGTGGAGGTGCCGTTCTCGAGGATCGCGCCGTCGCCGCGGTACCACTCGATCTGGGGAGAGGTGGGGGGGGGGGGGGGGGGGTTACCACGTGGCCTGGGGGCGGGCTATTATGCAGCTGGGCAGCCTTTGGAGGGGTGTGGTACCACTCAGTCTGGGAGGAGGGGGTTACCAACCTACTGGGGTCTGAGGGAACATACGACATGGGCAGGAAGCAGCATTTGATCTGGACACAGTTGGTTCACGTGATAACTGTCCGTGAATCATTTGCGAGTTACAAATGAACGATAATAACATGCTCTAAGCAAACGACAATTAGCTTAATATCCGTATAATCTCACACTTCACTAAATCGTGATAATTTCAACCATTTTTATTAGATTGGAAACCGAGGGGAGCAACGGAAAACGTACGATCGAGTCCGACTCAGTTAACATTGCATATGCCGGCGAAAACTGTTGAGCGATAACATAAAACATCACTCTAGTCGCACGCAACCACATCGATTTTCACAGTAGAATGTAAACATCTCTTCAACGCCTCGAACTCAGCACGTGAAGGACACCCTCCCACTCGCCCACCTGGGCTTGTGTGACGTCACTTCACGCGGCCAGTTCGGGCATCACCTTGGCTTTCACCTCGCGTGACCCGGCGAGTTATGTTCGCCAGTGCCGTGGAAGAGAATTGAAGCCGGTAAATGGTGTCCAGGTTATAGCCTATTCGCGTTCGGCGATGGAAACGCAGATGACCTTTGGCCGCGGTAATGACGGCTGACAGGATGCAGAGCCGCGAAACGTCGAGAAACTCGCAGGGTGGGGCCAGCAAAACGCACCTTCAGAGTCGCGACAAATTGGCTCCGATTTTTATGCAGGCGTTTGGCCTGTCCATGAGTTCAACACCCCACGACCTTCCCTTCTCTTTCAGCGGCATGTCCGGGATACAGAGTCGCCGGGTGACGGGGGCGGGGCTTGGGGGAGGGGGGGTGGGGGAGGGGGGCGACGGATGGCGGCTTTAGGTGCTGCTGATCGCTGTAAAGGCGATGGGTTTCTGTGGCGGCGCGGCGCAGTGGAGCCCGGAGCTTTCAGCTCGAATGGCTGAGTGGAGTAGAGGCGTTTTTGATTCAGAGCCCAGGCATTCAGCAGACCATAATCCCGCTCTTCAAGTTTAGTGTTTCAACAACAACGGCAGCGTTCCCAACTTGTATCGGCGCTGCGCCAGTTAACTCTGAAGGGTCCTCCACGCGCCATCGAGTCCACAACACCGCCCACTCGTGACCAGGAGTATTTCCCCGCACGTCAACTCGCCATACCACCACAGGGAGCCAACCCCGCGGCGCCTGCCACGTACCGGGCAGGTGCCAAAAACGTCTCGACATTCCGTGGGAGTGACGGTAACCTGAGCAGGTCGAGCGAGCGGTGCGGTACTGACCTCGGCCGGAGGACGGCCGCCGCGACTCTCGCACTGGAGCCGGACCTCCAGGCCGGCCGCGGTCGTCACCCGGTCCCCCTGGATCACCCGCGGCGGCTCCGGCGGCACCAGGATCGTCAGGCGCGCGTCACGGGACCTGCCGCAGGACCACGATCACGGCGTCACGGAACCTGCTGCCGCTGGCGGATCGTGATCGCACGTCCAACAGGACACGAGGGGAGTCACGATTGTGATCATCACTGGACCTGCGAGACAGTGGTGACCTTTTGAGAACGGAAACCTGAAGTAAGGTTACGGTCACGAGCGCCACGAGAACCGTGGGAAAATTACTATTCGGCTCAAGGAGCATGATACAGGACCTGAGGAGCAGTGTGATGATGCGCAGAGATGGCAAGATTTTAAAAGTGCATGTCAAGACGGAATACCACGAGCTTGGACATCACGGTTTTGAAAAAGACCACAGCCTTAGGCGCAACAAGTTTTGTAGGCAAACTACGCTCGTATGTTGAGCACCAAGGAATCGGATTAAGAATCCTCGCCTTCAGCATCGCTAGACCTGGGTTAGCACCAGCCTTAGGCACAACGGACTCCGGGGAATTCACGATTTCCAGTTCTGGCGGCGAACGGTGAGATAGCGATTTATCGTATTTAAATGGCCTTTCGATAATCATAATCGATAATCACTAGCATATTACATAGGGACGGACAGAAAGGCGAAATGACGCCACTCAGACCGCGACGTCGAAGGAAACCGTGCAGAATGGCAGTACCTTATGCGAAGGCGCAGCGCCGCACAGACACGATAGTGGATGTCGTCCATTAAGGTGAACAATGATGCGCAGTTACCGAACGACCGGGGCGGAGAATTAAATCAGCTGGCAGAAGATTGCCAAAAGGGGCATGTTCTCGGTACATCACATCGATGGCCCAGTCGACTGGCCAACGAAAACATCAGATTCAGAACTGGATTTCACCACATTTAATGTGGTTCATACACGCGTTTAGAAGAGCTGGCCTTTAGGTTGGGGGAACTAGGCTGAGTGAGAGATATCCACACCCAAATGGTGAGAAAACTGTACCCCCGTCTACCAACGTTGAGGAAACGAATAATTGCAACAAACCCTTGCGTGTATCCCTCATTCAAGACATTCATCACAGACTATGTTTTAACCTGGCAATGTTCAGTGCCCGTCCGACGAACGGCTACAACTAAAGACACGACAAAAAGGAACAAATCCTTGCTTACATCGCTCCTTCAAGCTATTACGAAAATGACCAGCCTTAGCACCACCAATATTAAGTGATACGATTTAAGCGTATAACTGAGGCTCATGTTCAACAAACCGGGAGAAAAAAAACGTGAGAAACGTGCCGTGTAATAACCGCAAACGTGAGTGTGTGATTATCACAAAGCAGTTCAAAAAAAATAATCGAACAGAGTGGACATCATGAAAAAAATGCACTGAAAAGAACTGAGTGCTTATTTTAGGCCCCTGCTTGAAAAGTTCTACAAAATTTCCGTTTTTTGTTTGGTCAACTATACTCACACCAATCACAAACACGACACGGAAGGCAGCAAATATCTTATCGGACCTCAAAAATAACCTGCACCCACCCTCACAGTACGGACACAATTCGCCACGCGATGCAGTTAATACCTAAATTACGGTCATTCAACCATCCACGCTCTGCACGTAAAATCGTAACTACAGACAAGCGATAATTCCGGTCGCATGGCAAAGCCCGGCCTCAGGTCTGTGCTGGCCGACGGGGCCTTCTCACCTGATGCCCTGCTGGCCGACCGGCCTCGGGTCTGTGCTGGCCGGCGGGGCCTTCCAACCTGATGCCCTGCTGGCCGACGGGCCTCGGGTCTGTGCTGGCCGACGGGGCCTTCTCACCTGATGCCCTGCTGGCCGACCGGCCTCGGGTCTGTGCTGGCCGGCGGGGCCTTCCAACCTGATGCCCTGCTGGCCGACGGGCCTCGAGTCTGTGCTGGCCGGCTGGGCCATCTCACCTGATGCCCTGCTGGCCGACCGGCCTCGGGTCTGTGCTGGCCGGCGGGGCTCCCTTACCTGATGCCCTGCTGGCCGGCGGGCCTTGGATCTGTGCTGGTCAGCCGGGGCCCCCTCAACCTGATGCCCTGCTGACCGGCGGCCGAGCCGACCTGACACTGGAACACGGCGTCGTCCTCCAGCGTGGCGCGCTGCACCTCCAGCGAGTAGATGCCCTCGTGGTCATCGCCGATCATCTGGTAGCGCGGGTAGCTGGGTAGGTCGCGTATGACGCCCAGGCCGAACTCGTCGCGGGTCCACTGTACCTGGCCGACTGGCTCCGACACCTGGAGAGGGGAAAAGGGGAATAAGGCGAAGGGCAGCGGGACTGAGGCGGCTCTTCGTGTCGGCTCCGGACCGGCCCCGGCAGGGGAGCACCGGGAGCGCCTCTGGGAGGGTGACGTTGGGCGACAACGCAGTCCACGGGGAGAGGGATCTTCACAGGCATGTCACGAACATGCCACTATGCCAAGGGAGCCTTACTGTACACCGACTGCCGGGAATACCCATGCACCCGCAAGCGCATGGGAGATCAAGCAAAATATGCAGCGCGCACACGCCGGACCTTGGGAAGCACGAAGGGTGATCTTTCCACTCGGGGGGGCGAGCCCAGATTCAAATTCGGAATGCGAAATAGTTTAGCAATCGCGTGTCACTGCTGCCTCCTGCTTCCTGATGGCCAAGCAACGAAAGGAATATGTGTGGCCGCGGCCGGAAAAGGATGAATGATTCCTGTTGAAAACCAAAATGCTTACAAACGAGTAAAGGTATTCTGAGACGACGCTGTTGGGACCGCACTTAAAGTGCTAGCAACTTTAATACGGTCGACTGCAATCGCCATGGTCCGTTCGGAAACTTTAAGCAGTGGCGTTACGTGGTGTCTCACAAATGTGACAAACACTGTGTGGCAGCTGAGTGGCACCGTGCAGCAAGGGTCATGAACTTCGGAATCATTTCCATCGCGACGATCGTTCGTAGATAACCGTAAAATCAAGGAACGTTTTGTCCACAGATCCCTGGAAAAGGATCTTCTTTCGTAGAACACTAAATAAAAACGGTGGGAAACCTTCCCACGGCCGCCACTGTCCGCATAGTACGCCGCATAGTACATGAACGACCTTGTCAAGCCAACGATGTGGGATAGCTCCGTGGGCTGCAGCGTTAGCGCCAGGCGAGATGCACGTGTTGCAAGTTGGCTCCACCACGCCGTCAGCATACAGGCCGGCAGGTCTCATGTTAAGCACCACATATTCTGGGAAACGTCCACTGTTTGCATGGTGTGATTTATGGCGTGTAAAATGGCATGAATTATGGGGATGCCCGCCCTACGCATTCCACTCAAAACACAGCAAATGCATTAGTGTCGTAACCAAACTTAAAATTTATGCGGGCTTGAGTGGCTCAATTACTGCCCATCAAAACCCATACAAACGAGCGCAACCGCAAGTTCAGCCTGGAAATCTGCCCTGTGGTCTTGTCGACCGGCCTGGTGCCATGACCAAGCCGAGCCCCCACGTCCCTTCCCCTCTGCGCACGCAACGCAACCAATTACGACGCCATTACTATTCCACAACACATAAGCCTCACGTACTCGGACTGGGCAAATTTGGTAACATTAACGCTATTATGCAGAAGATTGGCAGTCTCCAGGGCTACAGGATGATGGACCGCTAGTTGACGCGTTTACGGCCAGTGACGTTACCGCGAGAGCTGGGACAACCACCGCCGACCTGGCAGGCTACCCGGCGATGAGGAACACAAGCCAGAGGGGGAGCGCGCGGCACGGCACAAAGACCGGCTGGTGTGAACGGATCTGATGACGTCAGCACGTCAGTCAAGAGTCCTCTCTCTATCGGATCATCTGATCTGGTGGGGAGTTGTCGTCGGAGAGTAGGGTCATTCCTTGGCAGTACGAGGAACTCCCACCTCACCTTACAGTATCGTTTAGATTGTATCTGTATAACCAGTATTGAGCCTGTGGGATTTGTGCCTCTCAACGCATGGCAAGCTTAACGGAATTCTCAAGCTTCGTAGGGCTATAACGCGGCAGTAGTACAAAGATGCTGATGCAACTTGTGTAGACCTTATATTTTTCAAGGGCCGGCCGTAAATGACACATTGGCAGATAACTGGTAATATTAAATGACGAAGAATGCTGCATTCTTTAATACGGATTTATACGTGACTTTTATTGTTCATTTGTCCCCGTGCTTTTTGTCGTTTAAATTATGCGAAAGAACTATTACCAGCTTTCTCACAGTCATGAAGCATAGCATACAATTGACCGGTAGTTCAGATTTACCACCAGCCAAGAGATATATATCTACAATAAAAACCTCGTAAAAGTTCCTTAAAGTACGATCGCTCAACCCACGGAAAAATGACATCTGCGTGTAAATGTCTTAAAACCTCCCGCCTCTCGTTTTGTTGCCTGCGCGGGGCCTGTCACAGAATATGTCGCCTACCACCCTAAGTGTTGGCAGCTTCGTCCAGGCCGGGTAGCCTCCACAGCGCTGGTCCGTCAGCTGTTTACCCGGGAATGTTTGGCCATATCTGGCTCGGCCATGCCATAGAGCAGAAAGACCCGCAGCACTGACATGACACTGGAGCACCAGCGACCTCTTTCTCTAGACAGGTGATAACGGTGTGGAACACAACACCCACTGATACATGCGCACCAACCATCGGTAAAAATGCAGAGGGGCACTTCTGAGCACCACTAGCAGAAGGGCACCTCTGATTAAGCGGTGGCGATGTGGAGCACCACCGGTGGCGGTGTGGAGCACCGCCGGTGGCCGACACTAACCTGGCACGGGAGCACCACCGTCTGGCCCTCCCTGACGTACTGGTCGGAGGGCTCGCGCACAAACGACTGTAGCGCGTCGCTGAAGTCGTGCAGCAGGCACAGGTGCACCAGCACAGTGCACCACCGCCACATCTGCCGAGCACACCAAAGGTCAGCACAGGGTCACACCGCGTCGTAGTGTGCCGCCGCCACATCTGCAGAACACCCAACGGGTCCGCACAGAAAATTGTTCATGCTTTTGGATGTCACCGTAGGTGACATCCAAAAGTAGGTGAGTAAAGAGCACAGTAGGGGAGTAAAGAGCACCGTCACTGTTTCAGGGGAACGTGCCAAATTCACCAAGGAACACCACCGTCGATCCGGAGCACGTATCATGTCAGTGCACAGCACCACAGACCGACGAAGGGCACCATTGGTGTGGCTGAATAACATAGCTCATGACAATGCCTTGCACCAAAGATTATCACCTGGAACCCACGCCACATTCGCACAAAACACTGCCTCAGCTCGGAGCACCAGTTAGCGCCGAACACCAGCGCCTCACCTCCAGAAACCAGCGATGGTCGCTAAAGCACCATGGTCAAACGCACGGAACGCACCACCATACAGGAGGCCCCGGATGTGAGGAGGGGACGGGAGGGGATGAGGCTGCAACAACAGTGTGTTGTAGTGCTGGGGAAAGAGGAGGAGAGAGGGGGGAGGGGGTACAAGTGCGCTTAGTACCAGCCAACGACCTACAACGTACGGTCAATTTCCAGGCCCGTGGCATGTGATGAGAACATGCCTGACATAGCTGCTCGGATCAAACATCCGGGTCACGCGCTCCCAGCTCGGCACAAAACACTCGCAGTGTGCCATAAATCAGCAGAAGGGAAGGGAACAGAGGGAAGACGGCTGGGCGGTGAGAGCCGCTGCGTACTTAACGCGAGCAGAGAGCTGCTTACGAACGCACTGCTAAATGCTAATGCAGGCACATTTCCCGAGCAAGAAACGTCGTGAGCGCGGGCTTCGCAAGTCCCCACGGAATTTACTGCTCGTATGTGATCGGTGGGGCTTAAACACAGCTGGTAACCTGTTGACAGAAGATAACGGACAGACAAGGTCGCAGCCGTAGGAAGCTGTCATTCAGACGCAATGCCTCTCATTTTAATGATGCCTGTGCATAAACAGCAGCGGGTTGTTTGCCTCGCCAGATACGGCTGCCGCCGGCTCTCAGATAAATCGTTCTGATTTGTCGCTGCGATAAGATCGTTCAGCCGACAGGACTCGCCGCCTGAAGCCGTCCGCTCGAGGACGTCAACAACGATCATTGCTCGCGGCACAAAACCGAGAATCCGCTACAACGGCCCCGGTGACGATCTCGGCTCCGATGCGAAGATGACGTTACTTATACAAGTCTAAGACACGCATTCACCTGAAGATCCGTTCCGGAGGCTGCTGGGGTAACGTGCCAAAATGACCCAGACAAACCTGCGTTTTGGTGCGCCATATTATTGTTTCACTTAATGTCACATCCAGCAGTCCAATGCTGTCTGGGAAACATCCGGAACTTATTACAATAATACGGATTCTCATCACCAGGTGACATTAGTTGCGAACAGTACCGCATCGTCTAAAACGGAACAAATACTGCGCAATCAAATTAATTGCTTTCGCAACCTATATAGACATTAAACGTCACATTACCTCGTATCACCAATTACGAAGACAACGGTGTGGGAAACTGCAAAACTACCGTCTCATATGCCATTTGTGAGCGATTGCCATCGATTTCTGCAGCTTTTTCGTCTCCGAATCAGATGCCTGCTTCATTGTCAAGCCGCAACGTTTGAGATATGTCGCGAGCATGTCAACAAACTCCAAAGCTCAACTAAAACTAGCCCGAAGTGCTTGATTAACAAGCATCGCCAATCAATGCAACCGGCATACGAGTCTCCCGAGATTGGAGCGCTTGCATCGAGAAGGTTCTTATTGGCCGTGCACTCTCCGATTGACACAGGTCTGTTGATTCTTGGAGGTCGACGGCCGGGTCTCCATTGTTCGGTGGCCGAGACTCTTGCATCGAGGAGGCCCTCAACTGCTCCAACAGACCATTACAGAGATCGACCGGTCCCGGGCAGCCCGCCCTGTCTAATGAACTGAACAGCGTACGTAATATCGGGACAACTGGAATGCCTCTCCCCCGGCATGCCACCCAATCATCCGCCAAGGTCCCCTTCATGCGATTGAGCGGAGATCTCCACGGCGCGTGCTCATCAGCGGGCCGATGTGCCAATTTGCAGTGAAGCCGCAGCTGCCTCTTTTTAGCGCGTCCGAGCGCAATTAGTAGCTCAACAGTTACAAGGGTAAGCTGCATTAGTGTCTGCCCCACGTACTGGCCTTGTCGTGTACCGGCCTTCATCCTGAACACACGGCCAGCACTCATCCCGAACATCCCCATCGGCCTTCATCCCGAGCAAACTGCTAACCCCCCCTCACGCACCAGATCTGGAGGTCAACATGCCCCACAAGACGTTGCTCGTTCTCTCGACCCCTGCCACGCAGTACCAAATCCAGCAGACGTCACAAACGGAAAGACAATTACCCCAGCACATTCTAGACGGTTAGAGACCCCCGCTTCCAGTACGCCCCAGGGAAAGTCAACCTCGCCAGCCCGTCCCAGGCAAGCCAGTCCGCTGAACAAAGCATTCCCTCCCCTCCCTCGCCCCCACACAACCCGGAGAAGCTGATGGTGGCGCGTGTGATTAGATGCAATTAGACGAGCCAATGGCCGGACAAAAACAGACCGCCGGGGCGCGGGCCGACCGGCCGGCCGGCAGGGTGAGAGACGGCCGGCCACCCAGCCGAGCCTCGCCTGGACTGCAGGCAACCCGGCCGAGGTCCGCCTGGACTCCTGCCGTCCACCCAGCCGAGCGTCGCCTGCGCTGCAGGCCACCCAGCCGAGGTCCGTCTGGACTCCCGTTGGCCACCTAGCCGAGATCTGTCTGGGCTCCTGTTGGCCACCTAGCCGAGATCTGTCTGGACTCCTGTTGACCACCTAGCCGAGATCTGTCTGGACTCCCGTTGGCCACCTAGCCGAGATCTGTCTGGATTCCTGTTGGCTACCTAGCAGAGATCTGTCTGGACTTCTGTTGGCCACCTAGCCGAGATCTGTCTGGACTCGTGTTGGCCACCTAGCCGAGGTTCGTCCGGACGCGTGCCGGACTCCCAGCCGACACTAGTACACACACACCGCACACACCGCACACAAGTTTTGTATTTTTAGGTGGTTGCATACAAATCCCGTAACACTAATTCACAAGTGAGCCGCACCAGCTTTGCATAGGTCCGCGTATTTATTGCACCAATAGTTGCAAGTTCGGCATCATTTCAACGTTTCGCAAAACACTGTATGCGAACTTAGCTATGCTATTTCGTTGGGCAGCGACAGGGAAAGATTGCAGTGTACGATGGTCTCCGTCAAAATACAAATGCTCGTCGAAAGTGACGAAGAAATTGCAGCAACTCCTTCGTGTAGTAGTAGTGCACTTATCCAATTTGGTTTCACTTTCTTCAACAACTTGACGAGAAGTGACGTCGGGGCATCTCCAGAGCAAGCATTGTGTGTGGACACAGCACACACGGCCATGACCAGCAATTAACCTAATGGGCGGACGCAATCAGCATGGGCAGTTTGCGAATTGATCGTCCACGCCACTTCGTCCCGGCGCCGCCGCCGGCCGGCGGGTCTCTTCGCCTCGCTCCTCTGACCCTCCGCGGCGCGGCGGCCGGCAGACGCTACCTATCAGCCGGGCCCCGGGAGCGGTGCGCCGACTGCCGGCGCCGTCACCGTTACACGGCAGTCGGCGGCGGCGAATAAACAGGCCGAGCAGCGGTTAATGACGAGGCGGAGCTATCGCTGGCGTATCGCGCCGCCGCCGCGCCGGCCCGGCCATTTGTTAATTATCCGACGGATAGGTGGACGTGGCCGGGCGGGCTGGGCCAGGCCGCGGCGGCGCCGCCTGAGCCAGGCCGCGACGGCGCCGGCCCGCCCGGTGAGGCGTGTGAGGCTGCTGGGGCGGTGGCGGGGCGCGCCGACGGGAGCCCGGGGGAGCGGAGCCCGGGGACGGGAGCCCGAAGTGGAGGCAGGGCGTGACCCAGGTCGTGTCGTTCTGACTACATAGACGGGAGCCCTGGGGACGTGTGAGACATGGTCCAGAGTGTACCGCTCTGAAATCTAAGACAGGGACACTACAAGCAGAAGGGTGGCGCGCAACGGCCTTCAGCACAAGCCGTCAAACTCCCTGCGAACAATCGACACGACCCGCCAGACAATGGAAAAATCACTTATTAATACGATGGTGTGATGACAAGTCTGTCGTCACAGAACTACACACATAACAGCTGTTGGGACACAAACTGACACAGCTGATAGACGTGATAAGGCATCAAGGTGCAGTTCGTTTCGCCAGAAGTGTCTGCGGAGACCAGGGGCTGTAACTTCAGCTCCTTTCTTTATTGCAAAAGTGATCTTTATCGTGCTACATTGCTTTCCTGGCGCTGCGCTTCATTGCAGCTCGATGCATTTTCGTGAAAGTAGTCAGGCACAAATGGGAAGTCATATATAAACGGTCAATGGAGAACGTTAGAGGAAGTACAAGTGTCAAAATGTTCTCAATTCTACGCCGACAGCGGGTAATGATAGGGCAGTGGTTTGTGTGCAGTTTGTACTGACGCATACGATAAAAGTAAAGAATGTAGTCCTTGTCTCACGAACTAATCTACGGCAGCTTGCTTATCAAGGAAGAGTTCGGCAGTGTAGTGTTGTACTGGCCAAAGGTGTGCAATCAATGAGACTTATTTCATGCTTCTTAAAAAGCCAACACTCCAAGCAATTAACCCATATTGAATTGCTTTGAGGGGTAGCGCAAATAAGTGTGCATTTTGGAAGGACAAAACATCGCTCCAGACAAAGTACAAGACGGGCATGCAACCATGCTTATCGATGAACGCCGTGACCTGTCACTATTTACTGACGAGCCATTGGAGGTCGTTTTTGTTTATCAACACCTGCTGGCATCCGGCTGCAGCCATCTTTCTGCATTTTACACCGGCTGCTACGCTGAGCCTCCTGATAAGAAAATCCAATTAATTATGGTAAGGAAAAGTTTTGTTCTCGAGTATCGCATTGCGCGACATCCCCGTCTTATGACAAGCCAGGGATGTGGCACATCGTGCATCAACATCGGCCTTCTTTATTCGG